CACACACACACACACATCTCAGCTGTAGTTGTAAGTGAAGTTATACGAGCTAGGTTCTTTCGGCACGGGGGGCGGGGCTTCTGGGATTGTGATGTTCTCAAGGTCGAGGAGGCGGAGCTTCATCTCCATGCTGATGAGAGTATCTAGGTCACTGCGTGTCAGGTCACTGCCCATCTCTCTGCCCAGCAGCGCACACAGGCCGTCAGTCCAGATGCAGTACTGCTCCGAAAACATAACACACACACACACAGTCAGTCACAGTGACTATTACTGCACATGCTATACACATTGTGCTATATACATTGTAACAGGTTGTCTTTACACAAATAATAGTAGGTTCAAGCTCTTTAGTACGGAAGCCAAGAACGGCCATGGATTTTTCTTTCTTTTCTTCTGTCGTGATAACGACTTATTATCTCGCTATCTCGATATAACAAAGATTGTTTTCCCGTGATAACGAATTCATTTATTTCGTTATCTCGACATAACAAAGATCGTTTTCTCGTGATAACGAATTAATTAATAATGTGTTCGTCTTGATTTCAACCTACAAGAGCTGCCACGAACGGCTTCCGTAGGATAGATAACAGTTTGTCAGCCTCTCATCTGCTAACCGGTAGCCCTTAAAAAAACCCAGTCAAGTAAACAGCGTAGCGGTAGGCTACAGCTACAGCCAGTGGCTACGGAAGCCGTTCGAGAAAAAAATCTTTGTTATATCGAGATAACGAGATAATAAGTCGTTATCACGAGATAACAGTACATAAAAAAGAAAAATCCATGGCCACGGCTTTCGTATTTTAGTTACAACAGCATTAATAACTTTTTTGGCCACTGGAGGGCAGCAAAACAAACTGGAAACACTGACATAATATTACCTTAAAAAGTGGATATAGTGAACATTAGCAAACAGCTGCCTATTTACAATTACAACACACAGGGGGCAACACTGAATTCATTTGCAGTCATGTCTTTGACCATCTGATAAGTCCAATATTTATTTATTTACTCTCATTTCAGCTCTGTTCTGGTCTCCAACAACTCCTGAGGGAAATATCTGTTTTTTTAGCTGCTAAATGTGACAAGTTAGCTAGTCTCTATGTATGTCTGTCTGCAGTTTGGTATTGGGCAGGTGGTGTACTGTGCTTTTTTTCCTTTTACAGCTTTTTTTACTGAAAACAGCTGCACGTTGAAAGCTGATGAAAGCTGCTGTACGGGCAAGAAAACAAAAAGATGAAAGGCATTAAAATGGTCCGTAGAGCTGTTGGGAACTGCAGAGTCAGGCGATAATTCTCTGTGGACTCGTCACTATAACGCTTTTCCAGTTACACGTATTTGACCCATTGTTCATATAAAAATACAAACAGTGCAGCATAAAGCCTCACTGTTGCTGAGCTTACCTCATACTTGTTGGGTGCAACAAAATTGAGTGTCTCATCGGGATCATAAAGGACAGAGAAGGCTAACTCCAGCACCTCCTGAGAGAAGCAAACAAAAAAAGAATGGAAGAACAGCCGTGTGACTAGAATGACAATAAAAAACAAATGAAAATCATATTACCTTGTTTTGTTTCAGAGCACTTTTTTCTTTCATATGAGGGCAGTCCTTCCCGGTCACCACAGACTTGATATCAGAGACGGGGACTAGAAGGAACAGAAAAGAAACAACTTAATAATTTGAGAGGTTTATTAAGGTCAGCCTACTGACAGATATAGCATGGTCTGCTAGTGAATGTGTCATCAAATGTGTTATGAAGTGTTTATTAGTTGGGACATGGAGCCAGTTGGAGAAACAAAGGTTTCAGAGTATCTTACTCTTGTCACTGAGCAGCTCAAAAGGCACTTCACCCTGAGGTGACTCATCAAGATCCCCATAGTGCAGCACTTTGTGATTCAGGGAGAGTCTGCAGAACCAAAACTTCTCTAAAATGAAAAAAAAAAAAAGGCAGACAATACAGTGCTTAGCAAGTAATCAACAACACTAGTGCTCCTTCAGTAGAAAAAGTGATTGTACTGACACTGTATGTACCTTGCCTTCGGCGGTTCCCCAGTTTACGGAAGCAACTTCCCTCACACAGCCGGTTGAGTCGCTGTTGCTTGATGAGCTCTAAGATCTCGGGCTGAATTCTCTCCCGCAGCTCACTGCAGCACAAACACAGCATGAGCAACAGGGACAAAGACACATGCACACAAATGTGTACAACACACAATACTATTATAGAGACAGAGAGTTCAGATTGGAGATTAATGAAGCAAATGTAACCTGTTGCTACTTCAAGAAAAGGGTAAAAGGCTGAGATTCTATGTTGCTAAGATTCTACAAAAGTATAGAAATGATCAGCTTAATATAGTAACAGTACAATTAGAGGTAGCGCAGACACAGACTGACATGATAGGTGGAGACTGGAAGTCATCCTGGCTCATTCTCTCTGACTGCCGCAGACGCAGAATCTCGGAATAGTTGAGGCCTCGAAGTTTATTCTTCAGCTGGTCTAAAGACGACGGCTTCATCGCCAGAGCCCTGGTGATCTGCTCACGGACCACCTGCATCACCTGCTCAGGTTTTAAGCACACACGTACACACATATAAACTCAATGAATGAGGAAAGGTGGAATAAAAATATATCAGACTTCCTAAATTGTTCGGCAGTTGGCTGAGATATTCAGTCACTTGTAACATTTTCAGATCTACCTGTACTGGTTTTTAGTGAACCATGAATATTGTTATTGTAATTCACAGAATCATTATTTTCCCATTCAGAAACTCATTCTGCTGACAGATATCTTTCCCCATCTAAAGGCATTAATATTTAAAATATATACTAGATGGTCCCAGGTAGTCTGTAACAGTAAATGTCTGTATGAGTAGTAGTGATTTTAATGTGATCATCTGGACAAAGTACTTTGACAGCTTTAAGTATATAATTGTCATATATTATTTAATAAACCAAAACCAAAACATTTCAGCTGTCTGCTTCAGTGACACACAGTGGAAGAATACAGCAGCTGCCGTCGTTTTTAAATCTGTTTAAACTTGAAGTCTGACTTTACATTCATACTGAGGAAACCTCGTCTGGAGGGATAATGGGTATTTAATAACGAGGGTCACCTACTGTAAATGACATACAGAAACTGTTAGCACCCAAACTGCTAATTCTCTTCCCTGATCTCTGTTGCTGTTTTGACACTTAAAGTTCACAGCTGAGTTTTCCACGTTCAATCCCAATTCATGTTTTTGAACTAGTCATGTGCATTCACATTTTACTGAAAGACAGCATAGTTTGTATATTTAGCTATGTGGCCTTTATTGCAATACATTTAAATACAATTCTTAGTGCCGTTGAATGCATTTTATTCATTCAGCACTTTCAATTGGGTGCCCCCATTAATGATGCCTAAATAAATTTAGTATATTGACCCTATTTCACCTCTTCTAAAAGTATATAACTCTATTTTATAAATGCTGCCATATCCATTGCCATTAACAATGAATATCACAATATAACATATCTGAGCGGTCTGGTTAGGAGGTAAGTGCACGATGAAAGATAGGTCAAAGCAGGGAATATAAACACATATACATATACTGTGTGTATATGAATAACATATGAACGTGTTAAATACAACTGACTGCTTTAATCTCTGACCTTATTGAAGTCCTCAGCTGTGGCCCTCATCTCCTTCCAGGTTTTATTAAGCAGCTGGATGCAGACACAGAAGAACTCTTCCCATGCCCGGTCATGAGTGAAGAACATTGGGTGGTAGTCGTTGCAGCCCTCATTAGCTACAGAAATATTTCAATTGTGAAATAGAAAATAGAATTTTAATATATAGGCATTTTCCTCACACAAACTCTCCTGGAATGGAGTATTGAGTGTCATACCACAACTTCTGATGACTTTTAATACATTTTAAGATGGTGGATTAATAAAAAGCACAACAGCTACACCTATCTACTTACGCAATTCTCCAACCTGGAGTATCTCGCACAACATCCGAGTGAGTTCAATGGCACACCGGCCAAAGGGACATTCGTGCTTGTCCTCGCGACTGCTGTTCTCCAGGACAATCTGTCATGAGTGAAAAGACTGTTAGGTGTGACTGACTCTTCCACCTCTGTGAGATGAGCAAAGTCCTGCCTGAGGCCAAGACTAACCCTGATGTACGTGTCCTGGTGAACCTTGGCGAGGTACAGCATGTTGTCCAAGGCCAGCATCCCTGGAGGAGTCTGTGTAAAGTCCATGGCCGGGTTCACATGGTTCTGCATTTAAAACAGAAAGGACTTGAACCAGCAGACAATAAATTGTTTTTTAAATTAACTGTATTTAAATCTATTTAAACAGCTGGTTTTACAGGGGTTACAGAGGAAACTGAGATATGTAGTGGAGACTCACAGTGAACCCCAGCATCTTATAGTCCTTGGTGTACATGGCCTTTCTCTTTTCTGTACCAGTGGGGTCATTTTCTCCATCGAAAGCAATCCTACGCAGCTCAAAAATGATGTCTCTCTGAGCCTGAACCACAGCAAGCCAACATATTATCAGCATACATAGAATCACTTTTAATTATACAGTTATAGCAGCAAAGTAATAAATAAAACCCCAAGTTGGGGGAATCAGTGGTCAGCAGTATCATTTCTGACATTGGTATCAGACTTTCTATGGAATAAAACATCTGATATCAGGTTAAACAGTATGTGGAACTTTTACACTTAAATCTGAATCAAATTCTACTTTTCACTTTGTGCATGCAGGTAAATCTACACTTTCACTTAGTAATGTGACAGAATGTCTCAACAAATATGTGGCATTATAGAAATAAACATGCCAATGATTTGCATTCATTATTCAATGAATGCACAATTTATTAATCAAAATTTTTACCTGGTCATTAGGATCCATTTTGGTCATCATTCGTTCTTCCAAGAGGTTGAAGGTCAATACCTGAAGCACATAAAGCTGATGTGCCATTTCCGCTTTGATTGGTCGATTTCCTCTAATAACGTGCTGGGGAAAAAAAGGCATTAAGTCTTTATTTTGGCTACATCAAAACAAAACAAGTCTACCTGAACTGTTAAAAAAATAAAATAAAAAGCCTCATAAATTGTTCTCCTCCACTGACAGGGAACTAAAGATTGTTTGTAACATTTGGAAAATCACCTGAAGACAGAAAGCTGCCACTGCTAATCGTCTTTAAGGACTGATTATGCTGCAAGTGACGCATAATGTTTGTTGTAATCACCAACCGCATTAAAAAAGGAAAATAAAATGACTAATAAAATATGTGGCATCATTAAACACAGTGTGAGAGTCCGACAGGTAACCAGGTCTCATTAACAGAACACAGACTCAGAGTACACAGTGCTGGAGCTGCTTCCTGGAGCAAGGAAACATCCAGAAGCACTGACACTTGCAGCCCGTTCAGTCAGGCACTTCCAGAAGAGTCGTGCCAAAAAGAATCATTTTCAGAGCAGATTTTGTTTCACTTCACAGATTTCACTGCATATCACATTTGCTGGTTCTGTGTCACAGCTCTCTCCGAGTGAGTAAATCTTTCCACTTTCTGAACTGCTGGTCCCAAGGATCGCCCCAACAGCCACCAAACCCCAACAGAAGATAGTCTTAAAGGAGGCCCGACATAAATATTCTGTGTATAGAATCCTTTTCCAATCTTTTAAGAGCAAATGCTTTCAAACGAAATCTATTGAAACTGTTCACACCTGAATAATTCAGCGTTTACTCTGAAGTGCAGCTGAAACTGCCAGAAATACTTTGTTTTCTGCATTTCAGACTTGATACTCACATTGAGGATGATGGATCGCAGGTGTTTCTGAGCCAAAGTGCTCGCCATTTCCTGAGGAGAAATAAATGATGGATTAATTTAATGTACACGTCAGACAAGGGAAGATGCTTTATTGCACGGAAAAGATGTGCACACGAGTAACTTTACTTGACTCGACCTACAATAAATATACAAATTCTGAAATGTGACTCTCTGAAGCTACATTTCCAGCACTGATTTAGATTGCTAACTTTAAGCCCTTCACACCTTCTGTAAAGCATTACGACACGGTCTAACTCCAATGTGTCAACACAGTCTGTCTGCTGCTGCAGCAAGCTATGGTTCTATCTTCATTTGCATGGATTATGCAGCGGCTTTCCATGACACAGAATAGAGCGAGAGAGCGAAGGAGGAGAAGGGCTGTGGGGTGGAGAGGATGGTATGAGATGCAGAGGGATGTGTACTCACAGTGAGGTGCTGCTCCAGCGGGTTAGTATACTCCTCCTACAGGTTGAAGGGAGGGAGGAGGGACGTGGGTGTAACAGCAATGGAAACAAAGAGTGCACACACGGACAATGAGATACAGGGATACATCACCGGCAGAGCATGCAACAGAAATAAGAACATGACACAACATAATTAAATAAATAAAGACTTTAAGCACTGACTACATACGTGAACCTACATGCAGTATCAGGCGAGCACGCATTTACTGGTTTATCCGAATGGGTTTGAAAGAATTTCACAAACCTAAAGGTTGTGAATATTTATCAACACACAGAGGAAACGTGATCTTTAAACCACCATTTATGTATGAAAATCACTGTGTTGTGCTCCATTACTGGAAATCATGCAGAAAGACACCAAAACTGGAGTGACAACCCATCAGGGATGTTATGGTATTTGACTGTTGTTCTGCTGGTATGCTGTTGCCAGAACTGCTGCTTAATTTTAGGCTTATTTTCAACAACATGTGAGGAAAAATATCCATAAATCAAAATGTACAGAGTTCAACAGTACAGTACACTACTCAATGTCACTCTGCTATCCTTATCTCAAAAGGACTGACTCAGTTCGCCCTCCAGTGGTTAACAACAGCAGCTGGAGATGAATGCATGTTCAAGGACAGCTGTCTGAACATAGTGTAGAAAAGAAAAATGTTACAACCCACAATAACATTAAGGCAAATACTATAACTCCTCTTCTTACAATGTCAGCTAATCCTCCAGATTCATACCCACTAAATTTTTAATTAGAAATCATAAAACTGAGTGAGAACTTTTTTTGCATTTGGAATAAAAAAAAAAAACACATTTACTATAAAAATCTTTTGGGTCTCCATTTGCACGAAGTTCAATATGAAGTGATTTACAGTTAGGCTGCTGCAACACACACATCTTTCCCAGTCAGTCAAAGCTGTGTTTTATTAACCACTGACATCTCAACATGTTATTTTGTGACATTTGGCCAGATTAAAGGGATTACATTTAATGAAGTGTTAGGACTATTATTAAAACAAAGAAAATCCAACATGAGCAGCATTGACCTACTGCAGTTATGTATTTGTTAATTATCTCTGTATTTCCTTCTCACTTCTCATTTCATTAACTATTGTTACTAATTTATACAGCATTTGCCAACAAAAGTTTTTGATTATCTGTTGCTGGAAAATCATTTTGGAAAACAAGAAAACAAAAATAAATCTTTGAGCTAGTTGTAAATAAATGGTATTTAAATTGTACTTCAGTTATGCTACAAGGGACAATATGTTTATGGATTTGCCTGTTTCATTTAAATGAGATCTGATTGTGCTGTAGGATGTAATTAGCGAGTTTCTACTTCCTGAGATATTATTTTCTAGGTCTCGCACAAAACAGCTTTTAAATAGAGCCAGGCTTTAAAGTGTTCTGTTTTTTTCTAAAAAACCTGCAAATACATAAATAACACATTATTTAACTTGCTGTATTAACTGACAAATCAAAGCTCAACATGGAGAACGGCCATTATGAACGAGACACACACACACACACATACACACACAGGACAAGACAGTGTATGAAACGGGATGAAACACTGCAGTATGCCAGCGCATTGTGTGAGCTGAGATAGAACTTATCACTGCAGGGTGAGCAGACAAATGAGACATAATGAAGGTGATGAGTAACATACTGGACAGGCATCCAAAGAAGCACTCACTCCTTTAGTTTGTGTGCATTTGGCTGTGCTACAAAGATATTTCAGAATCTGAATGCGTCCGTTTGGGATGTTTCTGTCTGACTCTGTTGAATCAAACTGAACTTAATGTCACATTTTTTTATATTTGGATGCATCTTAATAGTTTTTCAAGGCACGTTCATTAAATCCTGCCTACACTGCTAACAATGTAAGGGCTCACTCGTCGTCTAAGTGGACATTTTCACACTCTACTCTCCATCATAAACACATTAGGATGATACGTATATGATATACTGCACCGGTTGCTGGCCTCGAGTGCAATCCTTGAGATTAATAGAAATAAGCACTTTTCGCTGAATTTAGCCTACAAATAAATCCTTAATTATCAAGTCATCACTCAGTTACAGCTGGATGGTACCTCTACCTCGCTGAGCTATTCTGAAATAACTGCAGCATGACAAATGTGCAAACTTCAAAGGAAAGCGAGCACTATTTTGAGTGTGTGTGTCATCATTACAGCGATGACTGTCAGACAGAATCCACAACAAGACAGCTGGCAGACAGACGTCTATTCATAAGATTAGCTTTGGTAACTACTGCTACTACTGCTGCAGCCAGGATGAGGCAATATCTGCAGCTCTCTGACACCGAAAAACATACGACTATCATGAATAACTGTCAGTCATTATGTATGGGTGGCTTTTTTTAGACTTTAATGTGAGGATGGAACATTATTAGTTTTCTAGTTATGTCCGTCTATTATGTGAATTCAGTCATTTTCTCTAATACAGCACAGTGTGCAGTGGGTGCTGGGCACTGACCTGCCGTCTGTCCTCCGGTGCCTTCAGAAAAAGAGCGTTGATGAGGGCAATGGCGTAGGTTTGGATCTCCTGGTTTGACCTGAAGGAATATCAAGCAGCATAACAACCAGTTAGAAGCATCGTGCTCCATGAGTCTCCATACAAAGTTTAAACTATAGGCTAACAACTACACTATATAACCAATTATACTTTATCGCTATCACTACTAGTACTTATAATGGGTGCAGGATGTTTAGATGCCATTATTTCACACCAACAGTTTTGAATAATTGTACACAGACTCAAACTGGCCTGTTTTTTTAATTTAGTCAGTTTTGTTGTTATATAAGCTCTAAAACTCGAATATCTAAAAATATTGGCAAGATCTTTCCTACCATAAAAAGACCAAAACCAACAATGAAGTGATCCTACTAACAAGTATCACCTCAGTATCCAAAACCTAATGTAGCTTATCTGTGCCACGGAGCTCCATTGTTGTCCAGAAACTATTAAAAACACATCTAAGAGACACACTGGATGACATGCAGTGTTGTGCAAGTTCACAACTCACAAGCGCTAGCTCAAAGTTCAGTTCACGCAGATTAAAATGAACTAGTTCACGTTCATCGTTCACAATTTTGAATTTTGAAGCTTCCAGAAAATTAACTCACGTTAACTTCATCCGTTTTTTAAAAAGATGTTAATGTTTGACTTGGGGTCGGAACTTTGCGGCTGTGCTCATGTGCCTTTGTTAATGATTTCTTGTGATCATCACATTTCCCAAGACTGGTCGGATGCTTCAACTCGATGTGTCATTTCAAATTCATTGCCAATGTGTCTTTCTGACTTGTTTTTTCAGAACCGGTGGGCTTTTTCAGTTGAAATCTGTAGTTATTTGTTCATAAAACTCATTCAAGCATTCATCAGTTATAAACAGATATGTTTAGTTTACCAAAAACATGCGCACGTTCATTGCATGTTCATGCACAACACTGGTGACATGTTCCATCATTTAAATTAACATGGGCTGTTTCAGCAAAGTATGTACACATAAACATCCTTTTTGACTTGTTTTTTTAAGATTTACTTTTTCAAAAGGAACCAATGGGCTTTAAACTGAGAGCCACAAACATGATACAGAATTAGGAAAGTACTGAGACAGACTAACACGTTGTTGGTTTGTTTTTTTTCCATTTGTTGACAATAAGAAAATTACAGAATAACACCAGTCTTGATGTTTGATTGGGGTTATCTAAGCATCCTGAACTCATTCTTTACATAGTGCCACAAGCCAAATACCGTGGCCAATTTCTCATATTTTTTATTTCTTCTAAGTTACCCCACACTGCTATATAAACTCCTCTGCCCCCCCCATATCAGAGTGCGTGAAGCCCCTGTGCGTGTGTGTGTGCTCACACTTGCAGGTGCCCGATGAGCTGTCCCACGGTGATCTCCTGTGCCACTCGATGGTAGAGGCTGTGGCTGTTGAGGACCATGCTCTCGAGGATGGCTAGAGAGCGCTGCAGGATGGACACATCCACCATCGGCTGGTTCACGTAGCCTGCAATCTGTGGGAGAACAAAGGAGAGGTTTATGTGTCACTTGTATTCCTTGAAAAATTCAAATTAAAAAGAGTTCCCTCTCTTACTGAAAAAGTAAAACTTCCTCTAAAAAAAAAAAAATGAATCAAGAGTTCAAGTTCCCCCCGAGTGACAGTCAAGGCTACACTGAAGTTTTCCGAAGAAAACTTGTTGCATACACACTGAAGGAGCTACAAAATTATGAAAGGAGTTGCTTGGCAACAGCGCCCACTCATTTCTGGCCCGTAGGAAGGAAGGAAGGTAAAGTAATTAAATAAAAGTGTATGAATATAAAGAAATAAAAAAGACAGACCTTGAAATGTTAAAGAGTGGATATTTGTCCAGTGGGCTCCCTGTGAAACTATTATGTGTCAGATGAATTGCTCTTTTGTTGGAGGAGGTACCTGTTTGATAAAGGAGAGCGAGATAAGGTCCCAGGACACAATGCCGTGATCCATTAGTTCCAGGAAGGCAGTGAGAGTGAAGGCCAGCATTTCACCGAAGCTGAAGAAAGCAAAGAGCAGTTAGTGTAGGTCGTTTAATAATAATACATGTATAAAGAAGTGAAATCAGATTCAACCATGGCCTCATTGGCATAGCTTTAACCATTTCCAGCACTAAATGCAGGACACTCTTAAAGCTTCAACATATCATCGCTGTCAGAAAAAAAGCTAAACTCATGCTCACTGGGTGCCACTCTCAACCAGACGTGCCAGTGTCCCAATGCCCTCCATATTGATGAACTCTGTGGCAAAGGTTGGGTCTGCGGACAGCTTAGCGAGCTCTTTTAAAGCCTCCAGGCGAGCGTCGATACCGTGGGACTGGATCCTCTCCAGGAGTTGACGAGCAGCACGAGCCTGTCAGCCACAAAAAACACATCACTTTACCCACCCGATCACTGAATTATGATTTTAGGGTAATTTTTAATACTATATAATATAATAATATAATAATATTAAAATGTAATACCCATGTAAAAGTACTTTTGTTGTTGTATTTCTGTTGGTTTCATGTATTTGAACATTGATATATTAGTTATATTATATACTATTATAATAAGTGCTAACTGTTTAAAAATGACAGCATGTTTTACATGTTGTCATCCAGAAGTTAATTTCTTTCAGTCTTTTGCATTTCAAGGAAATGTTGTTGTTGAATTAATTTCATGAAACTACAATCTATTAAAAGCTGTGACAGTGTGACTACAGCTTCAACTCAACATGGTTAATGAAGGTATACATTTTAGCTGCCTTTGTCCAATATTCCCTTTGTTGTGTTTAGATGACTATAAAAGGCTAGCTAGAGAACTTCAAAATAAAACATAAAAGGCTCTATTGTTGGGAATCTAGACATGCATAACTACTTTAAATATAATAAATAAAAGTTGAACCAGGACATCTTTCTGTAAATTGTGATAAAATAAGTCTGGCTGAATTGGAATGTTTAAAACCCAAGTTGTAATAAATCTGAATTATTCCTCAAAGAGCAGTGAATTGAGTAGCACTTTTAGTGTTTTGATGGTGCGGTGCACCCACGGTGCACTTAGGCAGGGCGGGATTAGGAAGAATAAATTATAATACATTATTATTGAGTGTGTTAGAGGCTGTTATCAACCATGGCAAATCAACTCTTTTCATCCTTTTAAAAGCAGTGCTCTTCCACCATGACAGTACAGTACAGACAAGGAACTTGCAGGACAAAAACTTTGTGACATAATAATAATAATAAATTTTATTTGTAAAGCA